AGGGGCCGGCCTGGTGGTGCAGCAGTTAGGTTTTCACGTTCTGCTTCAGTGGCCTGGGTTTTGCCGGTTTGGATCCCGGTTGTGGACATGGCACCACTCGTCAAGCCATGCTGTGGCAGGCATCCCACATATAAAGTAGAGGAAGATGGGCACAGATGTTAGCTCAGGGCCAGTCTTCCTCAGCAAAAAGAGGAGGATTGGGGGCAGATGTTAGCTCAGGGCTAATCTTCCTCACAGGAAAAAAAAAAGTGACTGAATTGGCCAAGGAAAAATTGTCCAAGCATAAACTGACTTATTCTTCTGGCCTCTATGAATAAGGGCTTCCCATCCCCATCGACTCTTACCACTCCCACCCCGTTGCTCAGAGAACCAAGCATGGTTCACATCTGCATAAAGATAAGACATGGACCATAGATATTTGAGATATGAAAGAGTCTATTGTCCATGCTAGGCCCTTCTTGATTAGCTTGACCCACAGTTTTTCTCTCCATGTTGCTAGAATTTCTTTTTTTCCCCTGTGACATACTCTAGTCAATACTAAATTTGTCAATGACCTGAAGAAGAAGTATGTCTTGTAGACAGGAAAGTAGGGCTGAGAGAAGCGTTGCAGTGGGCTCAGGGAGAGTGATGAACACTTGGCCTCTTTTGGTCCCACCTGGAGAGGAAACTGGAGAGAACACAAGGTATACTAGGAGCCCAATTTATAGGCGAGAAAACAAAATGGTGCCCGTAGAAGGAACCAGACTGGGAGTTGGGTGGGAAGCAATGTGGCCATCCCTGATGAGGCCTGCCAGCTCTCTGGAGCCAGGAATTTCCTGCTGCCTTTATGGAAACACGGACTCTGGAAACTTGGCTATTTCTATTCCTGTGGGACTAGGAGCTCATTTCTGTAGCCTTAAAAACTCTGGAAATCATGTTACTTCTATTTGGGGGAACTATTTCTTTGTTGTTCTCTCTCTGGGTTTAGTGACGTTTCCTCGGAATTTCCATCTTTCTCAGCTGTGCTAAATGGGGCTAAGGGTAGGGCCAGAATCATAGACTGGGAGCTGTGCTATACCCTCCCCCCAACTTTCAGGGTCTGTATGGCGGCAGGGGCAGGAAAAGCAGGGGGGAGTGCTCAACAGGGAGATGAGAGGCTTTGGGGGGCCCTTTGGCCATGTCTACTTGCCAGAGTCTCCCCCTAACCTCTTCTCAAACTGGGAGTTTCTGCATTGTACTTTCATTTCTTTACAGGAGACTGTTGCTAAAGTCCAGGTGGAGATGGAGGGTGTGAACTAAGCTAGTGCATTGGAGAGGAATTGCCAGGCATCTCTGTGCACGTCCACCCTCCACCTCGCACGCACACACTTGGACCTCCTGCCTGGGCGAAGGCAGCTCAAACTTTCTGCTTTGTTTGCCCAGCAGCTCGTTTTCCCATCCTGCCGGACCCCTGCACTTTTTCAGGGCACTGACAGCTGTGTCTGGGAGCAGCCCTCTGCCTGGGAGCTGCCTTCTTTCTTAGCACCATTTAAATAGTCCCTTCTAAGTCAGACGGGGCATCTCGAGGAATCGATTGCAACTTCAGAATCCAGATGCCACTGTATCCAGTCTAAAGACAAATGGGATGGCACAGTTCGTTGCCCTTAATGAAACAGAGGAATTGGAAATTAACAGCATGAACTACGAGCCCCAAAGGACGCCTCCCTGTTGGAGGTCCAAGCTGGGCAGCATGTCACTGTGGCTCTTGGAATAGGCTGTTCAGAGAGAAGACAGGACCAAGCTGACTCTCCATATCTAGGGGGTCCAAATGGTTTTTTGCTTTTGTTTTTTATCCAAGTGTTTTGAGAACTAAAAATTTCTGAGAAATTTTGATAACGAGGCAGGGAGAAAAACGGAAGAAAAGAATCACTATAACTTTAAGAGGCCAAAATTACTATCGTGCCCATTTTACAACGGCATGGGGACATGAAGGCTGGTCCACTTTTATATAGCCTACAGTGGCAGAGATTTCAACCCGGGACTCTTTGGCCCTAGCTGGTCCCCCTCCCTGATTAGGAGCCCACTAGCATGCATGAGCCATCAGGAGCTCTTGGCAGGGCCCTTCTGCTGCTCTGTCCCAGGATGCTGTCCCAGGCCTGGCCAGCTCCCGACTCTCTCCTTTTCCTTTCCCTGGTGCAAACTCCACTGACTTGGCCTGCTTTCTCTCCTAGGGGTCTTCCATCACTCCCTCCACCTGGTCTTCTCCCCTAGTCTCAGATGCGCAGTGGGCTGCAGTCTATCCAATTCCCTTCTTCCCCCCTGCTCTCGAAGATAAGCCACCTACACCTTTTGTGTTTTAAGGATTTCACCGTAGGTCTCTACAGGGACTCAGAGAGTGACAGAAATAGGAGCTTGGCAGTCTTTACAGTCCTAGTCTTGGGTCCAGAGTCCCTGACCCCTAGTGAAATGGATAAGGAAAGTCATGGTGACCATCAAACGTCCATTTTTATTTTAGAAAGTGGAGTGCTCTATCTCCCCTCTCTTCCCACTATGTCCCAGCTTATGGGTGAAAATGGGGATGCTTTTTCCCCTTCTTTCTAGGAAGCTGCTTTCCAGTCAAAAGACTCCAGCCCGGCTGAGCACTGGAGATTTCCCGCCTCACCTGAGCAGTTTGTCTCTCCGGAGCCTTCCAGGATGGGAATCACTCAATTTCCTGGCTTCTGCCATTCCCAACTTGTCCTCTGGGGGTGCTGTCTCATTATGGTTGGGCCCCAATCCTTTGAGGCCACGAGGACCCTGGCTAATGAATGGGCAGTTGTCCCTGGCTGAGTAGGACACTGATCTCAGGAGGGACCACAGGCCACTGAAGATTGAGGAAGTCAGTCCCATCAGCCAGGTCACTCACCAAGAGGTCACAGATTTTCTCAAAATCTAAAGCATTCAATTTTTTATTGTCTAGGAAAAGGCTCACAAGGGAATCTGAGTCATGAACAAAGAGGGAGACTGCTGTGGATTTATATTCTTTGTTCTTTCTTTCTCTCAGTGGGGAGATGATACAATTAGGTTGGAATAGAATAGGTGATTGTCTCACCAGGTGCTTCTTGGGGGAAAGCAGAGATGGTGTATATTGAAAATAGCCTAGTATCAGCCACAGCTGTAGAGTGGGAGGGAGACAGCATTCTCAGCGGGCAATGAAAGTCGGTTATTCATTACCACCAAGACTTGACAGTACACTGAACACACGACATTATATTTATGCTACATAAAATAATGTGATACAATTTTTATGACCCAATTTAATCCAGTAGAGGGTATCCGTTTAATAAAGACAAGGACAATAGAATTAAAATTATCTATAGATCTACATAACAAAAGGCTAGTAAAAAGGGGCATTGTACTAATTTGACAGAAAATAGATAGCATTGTCATAAAATTTGTAAAATGGAGAGAAACTGCCTCACTCTGAATTTGTATGAGTTAAGTTGACAGGTGCTGAGATATGTAAAAGGTAAAGAAAAGAAAATGACATGGCCGTCTTTTCTGAAGTCCCACACCAAGCACAAGTTCTTCTCGTTTAGTCATTCTTCTGACAGCAAAACGGAGTATCTGCTGTGAAAAACTTTAATGGTTTAACAACTATTCAACAAACAAGCCAACTTTCCTAAAGTAGTGTCAGATTTTTCAAAGTTGAATTTCACTTCATGTTGGTACCTTGCTTACCTTCTAGATATCCATGACAACTGGCTGGAAATGGCTAATACAAACATAGAAATATTAGCACTAGCTGCTCCCTGGACCCATGGAGAGCTGTGGGCTCAGACTGAGGGTGATTTTGCTGAGGATGGAAAATTCACGTGCCATGTGGGTGGATCTCAATTTCATGCCACCCGTCAACGTTTATGGAACTCCCCCTAAGAGTCCACCTCAAGGCTGGGTTTGGTGGGGACACAGAAGAGTCTGTGACCTGGTCTCTGCCATCAAAGAGCTCACAGCCTGAAAGGGACGTGAGTTACTCTGATGTAAGGGCTTTCTTTTAAGGGTTTGGAGTCAAGGATAAATCCTAATGTGCTTTGTTCATTCTGCCTAAAGGTTTTGCTTACCCCCGTGCCTGGTAACATGGTGGTGTCAGCCCCTCAAGTCTCTTTTTCCTTGTCCATCAGTTGACTCCCTTGAACTACCCACCTTCCCTTCCAGCCAGAGCCCCACCCTGGATCGATCCAGCTGTTGGCTTCCTTTACTCCTCATAGGTACAGGGGTAGATTTGGGGCTGTCAAGGATCTAACCTTTGTCAGACTATCGTCAAGTCCTGAGCTCTTTTCTCCCCAGAGTGGCCCTCAGTCCCTGCCCCTCAGAACGCCAGGGCCTCTCTGAGGTGCTTCAGGGCGGACTGCAGCGGGGGAGGAGAAAGACGGAAGGCTGAGCAGGTCGGCTCAGGCCCTCTCCCCTGCCACCATCAGCGTAGCCTGTGTCCATCTCTACATAAACACTGGCAAATCCATATAAGGCTCTGCAAGGATGGAGCCTAAGAAGCAACCATTGGATTTGACCATTAGGTCTGTGTGGCCTATGTGGTTAATTTTTTTTTTTAAAGATTTTATTTTTTTCCTTTTTCTCCCCAAAGTTCCCTGGTACATAGTTGTATATTCTTCGTTGTGGGTCCTTCTAGTTGTGCCATGCGGGACGCTGCCTCAGTGTGGTTTGATGAGCAGTGCCATGTCCGTGCCCAGGATTCGAACCAACGAAACACTGGGCTGCCTGCAGCGGAGCGCGCGAACTTAACCGCTTGGCCACGGGGCCAGCCCCACTATGTGGTTAATTTTATGGGTTAACGGGGCCATAGGGTACCCAGATATTGGGTTAAACGTTATTCTGGATGTATCTGTGAGGGTGTTTTTGGATGAGATTAGCACTCGAATTGGTAGACTGAGAAAAGCATATTGCCCTCACCAGTGTAGGGGGGCATCACCCAATCCGGTGAGGGCCTGAATAGAATGAACAGGAGGAGGAAGGAAGAGTTCACTCTCTGCCTTGTCGTTGTTAAGCTGAGCCCTCAGTTTTTGGCCCTCCAACTGGGACTCTCACCATTGGCTCCCCTGGTCCTCAGGCCTTTGGATTCAGACAGGAACTGCAGGATTGGCTTTCCTGGAAGATTTTGGGACTCCTCAGCCTCCATAGTCACGTGAGTCAATTCTTACATAAATTTCTTTCTCTCTATCTACATCCTATTGATTTTGTTGCCCCAGAGAACCTTGATTAATACATGGTCTTAGATCCGTTTCAGAGGAGTGGCGGGGGCAGAAATCAGATTGCAATGAGTTGACAGGAGGTGAGGAAGTAAAGACGGTAAATATAAACTTATTTTTTCTAGAACAGATGTAAGGAAGTAGCTTGAGGGGAGGGCAGGGTATAAGATTTAGGAAGCATTTCCTTTGAGAATTTGTGAGTTTGGGAGCAGAGAGGAAGCTGCCCACAAGTTGAGCAGGAGTCACTGAAAGTATGTGTGGGAAGGGCAGTTGTTGGTGCATCGTCCCCAGGAAGTGGTGGGGAAGGAGCCAGGAGCCCCGTCTGGTTGTGTGAACTCAGACAAGTGACTTACCCTCTTGAACCTCCATGCCTTCGTTTGTAAACCGGACATCACAGTGCCCACTCCACTGGCTTGCAAGGATTAAATGAGATGGAGTGTGGAAAGCAGATAGCATAGAACCTGGTACATCAGAGGCAGCCACTGCTCCCTTTCGCCCTTCTCTCTCAGCTCTCTGACACCATTGTCCACTGTCGCCTAGTTTCCACAACTCTGTCTGCACCTGTGATTGGAGTCAGGTAGATGGGGGTTTGAATCACGGTTGTAGCATGTGCTGACGTTAGTCAGCTTATCCAATCTACCTAAATCTCGGGCTTGACATCTGTAAACTGGGATAGTCTTTCTACTTTAGGGTTATTTGTGAAGGTTAAATGAGACAGTATACATAAAGTGCATAACGCCGTATCTAACTCACATGAGATATGGTCAGGGAAAAAACAGTTCAAGCGGCTCAATAGAGGCTAAAGGCTTTATTCAGTGGACCTGACAACCAGGTGTCTCCGAGCCCAAGCAGGATTGTCATTTTATGGGGTGAAGAGCAGAGGGCTACACGTCCCTGTGGTTCGGCTCAGGAGTCATTTCTGTCACTAACTGCTGTGAAACCTGCGTTCGGAACCGTGCCTCTTGTTCAGGATCGTTTGCAACCCCAGAACAGTTTTCTCAAGAGCTGGTTTTTTAAAACTTTGCAGCTTGTCTGCTAGTCAAGGGTCAGGGAAGGAGGGAGGGAGCAGAAAAAAGAGGCAGGTGGTAAAAAGAGGAAAGGGGATAAGGGTTGAAGCAATGAAACCTGGGATCCTCTATCACATCTGCTTTAATTCTCTTATAATATGAAGTCAACGTGCTGAGCGAATGAATAAATAAATGCATGTCTGGCCTAGGAGCTACCTTAATACATTTACATGCGATACAGAGATATCCAAATGAAAATTCTGCTCACCCGTGCTTGTTTTTAAAGACAAGACTTTGTACACACATATCTATATCTCCCGGGTTTCCCCAAGCTCTCTGCCCTACAGAGTCCCCCTTTCTTTAAATATCAAACCAAAATTGCCAAGATTCCCTCCTTGGTGATTGCAGGAATTCTGGTCTTCCATGGGGTTTTTCTCAAGAAGTATTTTTGAGATTTCTCCAACATTGTGTGAGCCAGACATGGGTCCACTGTTTATCACCTCTGGCCTCTGGGTCATCCTTGCCACCTTATAACGTTTTTCTAGGTTCTCCAGATTCTCTCTTTTCTGTCTGGTCTCAAGTCCTTTCCTCTTTCTCTAGGACACTGCTAAGCTCAAGTCATAAATTTCAACAAAACGAAGGTTTGGTGGAAACAACTTTAATATATAAAAAACAAATCTTAACAGAGTCCTGGGCATCTCCACCCCTAGCCATCATAAGACATAGCTCCTGCCAGGGGTCAGCCCTCTCCCTGGCTTCCTGCTGCCAACTGTTGAGGGCCTAGCTCGCTATGATCCCATGTTAGCAGACAGGAGTCATCCTCTCTGTCCAAATTCAGGCCTCCAACATCCTTTGGGGCCCACCAGGAGGTGAGTGGGAAAGCCTGGACTTGCCTCACTTCCAGAGTCCTCCCTGTCCTCATCAATGTCCCTTCCCCCATAGAGACAGCCATTACTAACCATAGAGTGGTTTAACTCCTCCGTGTGTCTACATTCAGAAATAGTAGAAAAGGCTTTATCGTTGTCAAACCAAACTGCTGCCTTGAAGTGTTTCCCCCTCCCCCAAAAATATTAGTCTTGCCCTAAAAATGACGTGTTCGTGGCTCATGGCTGCTCTAACACATTGCCACAAACATGGTGGCTTCAAACAACATAAATTGATTTTCTACAGTTCTAGAAATCAGAAGTCTGAAAGGGGTCTCACTGGGCTAAAATTAAGGTGTCGGCAGGGCTGCCTTCCTTTTGGACGCTTTAGGACAGAATCTATTTTCTTGCCTTTTCCAGCTTCTACAGGCCACCAGCGTTCATTCCTTGGCTTATGTCTCCTGCCATCGTCAAAGCCAGCAATGGCCACTTGAATCTCTCCCTCCTCTGAAGCTCACTCTCCCGCCTCCCACCCAGATGATCCAGGACGATCTCCCATCTCAAGGTTCTTGAGCACATCTGCCAATTTGCTTTGCCATGTAAGGGAACATTCTCACAGGTGCTGGGGATTAGGATGTGGGAGGTGGACGGTGGGGGGAGCGTTCATCAGTCTATCACAGGTGAGTTCTCCTTCACTACTTAAGAAACAGGAAACTCTTGATAGCTTTAAAATACAGAAGTGGTTTGTTCTGAGTACATGTATAAATAACATCATAAAATGGAGACATGTTTATTGCGGGAGTTCTTCATGGGAAGAGAGCTGCATTTGTCTGGAAGAAAGAAGGCAATAAGGTGTGTGGCGGGAGGAGGGTTTTGGAGGGAGGTGTGGAACGTGAGTGGGGGTTGGGTAGAGAAGTGAGACTCAAGGCATTTTAAAGTAAAAAAAGGTGGTCACTACAGTGTGCTCTAAGTAGGGTGGAGCTGGTTAACCTGAGGACCCTTTGTTTTCAGAACAGAGTAATGGAGTCAGTTTGCCAACGTGAGAATAGGAATGTGGCAGAGCTACTTAATAGAAGAGATAGGAAATTGAGATCCTCAAAGGGAAATTTAAGGTGAAAGGATTCAGGAACTGAGTACTGGTGGGACAGCGAGAGAAAGAAAACAACCAAACTAAACCAAACCAAAGAGACAAATAAACAGAAGACAAAGCTGCTGGCTAGATTGGACAGCGGAGATGTGGGGTGTGAGGACTCCTTCCTTCATTTTGGGGGATCCTCATTCGAGTCTACATTGCTCACTAAGGTCACAGGGGAGAAAGAGGGGAGAGAAGATGAAAAAACATGCTGAGTGCTACACCCGGGGTGATTCATGGTGAAGGCAGGATTTAGAGACAAGACAACCAAGAGGCCTGAAGGATTCAGGGACAGAGAACAGGTTGGGTTGCTGTTAACGCAGAAATTAACTGTATTGCCTCCCATTATACTTAGCACTGAAATCCTTGTCTGGTCTCTGGGAATGGTTCACTCCATCTGGCCACCGCCACCTTTCCAACTACACCCCTTTCAGCACTCTCTTCCCTCATTACAATCTGGATACTATCTTCTCTAAATTGAAGATCCAAGGCGGTCCTAATTTTTATTTGTTTATTTATTTTTATACCCATCTCTGCAACTAGTCTATAAACTCAATAAAGGTATGTATGTGTATGCTTTTTTTTTTTAATTACTAAATAGCCAGGATCTAACCTTGAACCTGGTACACAGAGAGCTACATGGTATTTGTTGAATGAATGAATGAACCATCTCTGGCTTGTTCCCTTTCATTTCCTTTTTCAGCTTATCTCTAAGTCGCAGTAGGTTCTTCCTTTGTTCGTTTCTAACACTCACCTCTTCTTATCCATGCCTACCGCTCTATCTAAAGGAGGTGCAGAAGATAATGAAATGGATCAGACCCTGGTGAGCAGACAAGCATACCAGGGGGGAGCAGGTCCTGGTGATAAGCCCCACCTCAGGTGAGAGGGGGCACGAAGTACCACGTGGGAAGATGGAATCCAGTGCCTGGAGCTCATGGTCCAGACAGGTAATGTGGCCATGTGCTGCTATACAAGAAGGAACAGGTGGGTGTTCTGGCAGTTGTTGGGACCAATGAGATATTGGAAGGGAGGCAGATGTCTGGAGGACTCGAGGCTTGGGACTCAAACTAGACCATGTATGTCTTTCTGTGTGTATGGATGTATGCATGCTCACACACACTTACATAGGAAAAAGAATAGAATCAGATGGAGGGAGGGTGGTTGTCACACAAATAGCATAGCAGCCTTCATACAAGAAGTGGTCCCGTGAGTCATTAACTCTCGTAAGAACAAGATGAGTCTCTAAGTTTACTGATACGCATCAAGTGTTTTCAACTATGGAACAAGTGTGTTTGATGTGAAGGAGAAAGCCAGGAAGATTCATCCTACACTAAAGTTTGATACCTTTTCAACTCTGGACTATTAAAATAAACTTTAATTTCTGCCCACTCTCATCCCACCTGCATAATTTATCTAGGTCCATTTGCTAGAGCGCTGACCCAATCATGTCATTTTTGCTAAACTTTCCATGGCTCCCTATTGCTAACAAAAGTAGAAACTTCTTACTCTGGCATTCAAAGCCCAACCCATCTCCACTCTGTCTTGCCAGTTTAATCAGATCCCTCTGTTCCCATAATATACATTGTCCTTTTCTGCTGTCATTTCTTTGATTTGGCTATTTCTGTACTCTTGAAGGTTTTCCCCATTTTGACTCCTGGAAAAGTCAGCTCAGTGCTGTAGGGAAAGACATATCTGGGATTCAACTTTGGTTCTATCTTCTAGTAATTGTGGTTTTGGGGTATGCTGTTCAACCTCCCAGAGCCTTACTTTACTCATTAGTTAAACGGGGATGGCAATACTTGTTTGGTAGGGCTATTGGCAGGATGAAGTGTGATGTTGCATCCTAGTATCTGGCACATAGTTGGTGCTCAAAACTGTTGCTGTCCCATTCTTGAAACCCATCTCAGTTGACATCTCCTTCAGGCACCCCTCAACCACATGTGGTCTCATTTCTCTGAGACCCCGACAGATATTTGTTGGTACTTCTCTATGGCATTTGCATTTTCTGTATTTTATTAAGAATGTCTGTGCACTTTTTCCATCTCCCTCTTTAGATTTTAAGCTCTTGAAGGCAAAACCTGAATAGTCTTTGTCTTCGCAGCCTCTGCAGAAGAACTGGTGCAGTGACGTACAGCCATGCTCAAAGTATTTAATAAACATTTGGTGAGTTTAATTGAAATATCCATAACAACCTGATCCCATTGTCATTCTGAGAAATATCAGTCTTAAGAGCCGTAATTGTCCTAGGGTATCATGCATTATTCATGCAAAAGTTACCCTTAATGCTGTGGTTTCTTGGTCCGCCATCAGAGAAGAAGGGAGAACAGTGGTGTGGGCTGGACACATTTGCTTTTCAGAAGATCTGGTCTGTCTCCCCATCAGCCTGTTCTAGCCCCAGTGGGGTTAGCTCAGCATTGCCAATCACCGAACCAAAGTTCTTGTAGTTTTCTCTTGTAGAAGCTCTGGCAGGAATATTGGCCATTCAGTGCAAGTCCAGCTCAAATATATTATCTGTTCTTTTTACATTTTTAATATTTCAAAAAAGGGAAACTCTAGCACTAAGTGCTAGATCCGGGAGAGAGAAACTATTTATTATAAGAAGACATACACTTGGCATTAAAAGAAAATGTTTGGGGAAAGGAGTTGCATATAGAAAATCTGGATTGGGAGTGGCTGGACCCTCCACTAGAAGACACATACAGAATCTTTATTTTTATTTCTTAACTTGTTAAAAACTTTGAGGTTTTGTGCTGTCACTGAGTAGGTGGGCCTGTGATATTTATGTAGCTGATTTCATGTACTATGACAGTCGCATCACAATTCTGACAGTTAAAAACCCATCTCATCCCGCTGGGCTGTTGATGTAATGTTGGTGTGTTCTGGGAGCATCCTGAGCTGCACTTAGAGAACTAAGGATTTTCAAAATCTTTTTAGAATTTGAAGCATACTTATTTCAAATTGATTTACTTACAAAATGACATGTTTCTGGAAGGACTGAACAATCAGCTAGAGACCATTTTGAGCTGTGTCAGGAAAACCCACAGTCTCTTCCTTACATATGTTATTCTTGCCAAATTCCCAGCAGGCCCTCCCTAGGCAAGCCACCATATCTTTGCAGATGTTGCTCCCTCTGCTAGCACACTTCGCATCCCTGTACTCAAGGGGGACAAGGTCATCTTCAGCAAAGGTCAAACATCATCTTTCTCAACCCAGGCAGAGTGAATTGGTCCCTCTTTTTCATTCCCTCATAATTTTAAACCCTTCTTTCTAGTTGCTGCTTTTTATTTGCCTGCAGCTATTTGTTTATATGCCCGTCTCTTTTTCTAGATTGCGAAGCCTTTAGTGACAGAGATGATTTTCTTTTCTCAGACTACTTTCCTGTGTCTCTGGGTATCCCATGACCTGCATGAAAATGAAAACAACACGATCCGCAAGTCGGTCTCAAGGAGTTGGCAGTGATGAATACAAACAGAACAGCTTACAACTCTGCTCTACAATGGTTAGAATCATGGAAAACTGTAAAAAAAAAAAAAAAAAAAGTAAAACAGGTACTATGGAAGATGATAACTGTGAAAGACAAGGTAGATACAATCCAAATATACATGGAGTCCAAAAGCGAAGTGGACAAGGATGCTTCCTGCCTTCCACCGCTGCCTCCCGCACTTGATGTAAATGAAAAATAAACATCAGCGGTGTTGAGTCGCAAGAGGGACCAATTCACCGCCCTCCACTCCTTTTTTATTTACTCTAGGTTCTCATAGAAACCACCCTTTTCCACTTACGTTATTTTTACACATCTTCAAAATAGGTGTTTGAAAGAACAGTTATATTTCAAATGAAATAATTGGTTTCACTGTGCATTATTTATGCATTTCTGTAGTCAGAATTTCTCCTTTTAATACTCGTCAATCTAGATGAAGCCCTCCAATGATTTCAACAGAAGAACTATTTGAGTTGTATATTTCTGAAAATTTTCAGGCCTTAGAATGTCTTTCATGAAAAAATAATAGGTTGACGGGACATAGCCACTTTGTGTCACTCTCTTTTTCTTTAAGGATTTTGCAAATAGAATTCACTGGCTTCTGACACTGTAAGTTGTAGTAGAGGAATGTGAAATTATCCTAATTCGGGCCCATTGGAATTTTTTGTATGGGTAATACATCTTCAAGAGATAAATGCATAGCCGAGAGATGGTGGATAGATATTGTGAAATATCTATGTCCCCCAATCCTATTTCTCATCCACCCATTTCCCACCCCCACCTCACCACAGGTAATGACTATGACTGTCTCTAGCTCAGAGAAATAACTACTAGAAGAAGCTTCTTATGCACCAACAAGGAAACATAAATTTATATTCTTAGTTCCCCCCTTTACAAAACAGGTAGGAGGGGAAGGAGTAAAGATAATTATTTTAATTTGGTTGGAGTGAAAGCAGGGTGCAGAAGACACAAAAAGAGGTATATAAGCTCTCAGATTAAGCTAATGATTAACGAAAAAGCATGAAGGAAGTAAGAAAATCCAAAAAGGACCTAACTCCTTATCTACCATAAAAGAAAGTCTGAAGTTGTGCTGGAATGGATAGATATAAATTGATGGTTACGGTACTCTGAATGTTTATGGAAGGTCTGAATTTAATGATGAGTAATGTTAAAACAGACTATTTACGCTCTAAATCATACTAGAATAAAAAAGAAACTAATGTTGCTCATATATCAAAAATCCATAATAGAAAAGGGACCTTAAGGAAAAATAATGTTTAAAAGCATAAACTAGGTAGGCAGACCTAGTATTGCAACAATCATCATGCTATCCACTTTGAAATAGTGGTTTGATAAATTATAGTTTATTGGCCCTTTGGAAGGTGGTGAAGATAAAGGAAATAATCTTTGTGAGGGCTGAGGGGTGATGAGAAAAAGCATTGAAGACGTGAAGTAAAGTAAAAAGCTATATGCTTTGTACATTGCAGTTATGAAATAAATCTGGACAGATGGAGGGCCATGTGGCAGGCTGGTGTTGAAATTACAGGATTTATTTTTGTTGCTGTTTTTCTTAATTAAATTTTTTAGTCTTGTTTTACCTTTTCCTTCATTAAAGTAAAAATTATAGTATCAGTGATGATAATCTATGAAACCAACCTAAGATGTATTTTTAGAAGGTTAAAAAATCTCTTCCCACTGTCCTCTATTCTAATCCCCCTGAGATTATCAACATTAACAGCCTTTGTATATCTTTTCACAATTTCCTTTATGCTCAAACAAACATGAACTCACATATTTAGGACATTTTTGGTTGGTGTTACTGTTTGTTTTCATAGAAATGGAATTGTATTATAAATGTAACTCTGCAAATTGCTTTTCTCATTTAACAATACACCAGGGACAGTGAGAGAGAGATCCATTTCAATATTTTTAACAGTTGCATAATAGTTCATAGTGTGGATATATCACAACTGAATCAAGAACATCCCTTATTCCTGGACATTTAGGTTCTTCCTAGGTTTTTGCTTCTATGAACCACAATTTGGTAAATATCCTGGTACATATATCCTTATGCATTGGAGATTTTATTTCTATTTCCAAAGTGGGATTTATGGACAGTTGGTTGTATTGTCTGTTAAGAAAGAAAGAACTTGGAGGAAAAAAGTGAGCTTTTGTAAATTCGTGCATGTTTACTTTTGTCCTTGTTTTCTGAGATGCTCATTCTTTGCAGGACCAAAGATAAAAGTTTGAAGCTGACTTCTTCCAGGCCCCATTGTGGTCCATTCTGGATGAAATTTTAGGTCAGAAGACTAGGAACACATACATTTTGAGGGAGAAAAGAAGGGTAATAGAAGGAATCAGAGAAGAACTGATCAAGGCCAAAGGAGGAGAGAATTTGAAGAAAGAGAGGTGGTTGGAGGAGTTAAATGCTGCAGAGACACAAAGGGGAAGAGCTTCTTTTATTGATGGGGAGGAGGGCTGTTCACAAAATTTCTTATATACCTCTCCTGGGCACAAGGTAAGTGGTACATCCATTCCTTTGATGCTAGGCATGGCCATGTGACTTGTTCTAGTGAATGAAATGAGCGCAGAAGTGACATGTGTCACTATGAGGTAAGAGACTTTGAGAGTTGGTGCTCAATTTTCCACGTCTCTTTCTCTCCATCACAGTGATTGGTGACATTCCAGATATGGAGGCTACAAACCAGAGTCCCTGAGTGAGGATGACATGTGGCAGAGCCCCCTTACCTCCCAGCCAATGTGGGATGGACACACATAGCATAAGTGAGATATAAACCTTGTTGTTTTAAGCCACTAAGGCTTTAAGGTTGTTTGTTACTATAGCATAACTTAGCCCATCCTGACTGATACAGTCACCTAGGAAAGAAATTCAATTGAGAGATGCTGAAATCACATCTCAGGGGAGTAAAAGGTAATTGGATGATAGCTCAGGGGGTTAACAAGTGGGTGTGTAGTAAGGACGTGTAAGTAGCAAGTGTTGAATTTCTTTCAAGGTTGCTTAGGGGCTATTAGAACCCAGTTCTGCCAATTAGTTAAATAAATGCCCTTTGGGGGAAATATGGAAATAATTCTAGAACACTTTTAAAAGAAAGCTAGAAACATTAACTGCATAAATAACGACAAAACCAAGACATACACTGTAGAATTCTTTATATATAAAGATTCCAGCAGCTTTTATGCATCTCAATGCGTACTGAAAATACAAGAATATCACAAAATAAATTCCATTATGTTTACTTCTAGGAAAAATTTTGTTTCTCCTGATGAAATACATTTCCTTTTATTTGTTAAGGAGAATTATGTCAACATCCCTACAAAACTCTTGTTCCCTGTTCTCTGTTCGTCTTGACTACCAGACGGTTACAAAATTATCCTTTACCTGGATGGTTTGGTACAGCGCTCTCCTCTTAGGGTCTAGCTCATGGAGCAGGGGAGCATCAGGCATGGGGTCATGTCGGAAGGTCTGGAGGAATTAGACAACTCAGGGTGGCTGAGGGCAGCAAAGGTTCTGTTACTGATTGCAGCCAAGACAACTTGGGATATTTTATAACTGGAAAAGACCCATCAGAAATGCTGTGGGACTCAGCCATAGGAAATGATGAAATCCGGCCTTTTGTGACAACATGAATGGACCCTGAGGGTATTATGCTGAGTGAAATAAGTCAGAGGGAGAAAGTCAAATACCTTATGATCTCACTCATAAGTAGAAGATACAAACAATGACAAACACACACATGGAAACGGAGACTGGATTGGTGGTTACCAGAGGAGAAAGGGAAAGGGAGGAGGGCAAAAGGGCTGATTACATATGTGTGTGGTGATGGATGGTAATTAGTCTCTGGGTAGGGAACATGATGTAATCTACACAGACTTCAAAATATACTATGATGTACATCTGAAACTTATATAATATAAACCAATGTTACTGCAACAAAAATAAAATGAAATAAAATAGCAAAAAACTTAAAAAAAAACAAGAAAAAGTAATGCTATGGGACCAAAGAACAGAAGACGGGAGTTTCTACGTGTGTGTGTGTGTGTATCTATTTTACTGAGAATGACCCTTAAACCAGTAGTCACAAACCAGCAAAATCCAGCAACATCTTGAGAATCATTCAGCTATGGCTGCACACTCTCAAGGTAGAAAACAATGTTGATAAGTGTGTGGCTCCCAACAGGTAAGACCAGAACTGTCTACCACACAAGATCAGAGTTTTTTAAACTGTGGGTCACATGCTTTTAGTGGATTGTGAAATTGATTTAGAGCATCTTGACTAAAATTTTTAAAAATAAAAAAAAATGGAACAGAAAACATCAGCACGCATCCTCTCTAGTAAAGTTTTTTGTTTTTTTTTAATGACACTTTGTTTCAGCCTCTGTGTGTGTGTGTGTCCTGGGATGTGGTCAAGAATGTGTTTCTTACTGTGGATTCTGGGTCAAAACCATTTGAAAAAGCCAACCATCTAGAGCCTATAGGGAGCCTGAATTTACTCTATGAGAACTCAGACTGGTAACATTGAGAGACCAAAAGTGGGTGATACCAAAAGATGGGTGACAACCAGACATTGTCGAGGCAAGAACAGGAAACTAACACCAGTGGTAGTGGTAATACCACTGACTTTTAAGTGAACTGGGCCTTCCCAAGCATCAGACCAGAGGAAGGGGTTTCAGTGAGTGTGCAGCACTGGCATGGCAGAACATAGTTTGTTAGAGTCAATAAACGTCTAAATTGGCATACCATGTCAGTAGCAATTTGTGTTAAATCTCTCCCCTTGATCTTGGATCTATTTCCTCCTGCATAATAAGCCAGAGGGATGCTCTGAGAGAGCAAGTGAAGGTCAAACCGCAGGAGTGGGCTGAGCAGAGGGCCTGAGGTGAGGCGAGCGCAAGGTGAACAGGACTGAACGTGAGGTCAGCGAGGTTGGAAGCCTGGAGAATTGGTCGGTGCTGGGGCTTGGGGCAAAGCCCTTGAAGGTGTTGAAGACCTGTTTTTAGGTGTTCCTACTGCTCAGTGGGAGGGCAAACCTGAGAGATTAAAGTACCCAGGAGGACCAAGTATCTTCCCTGTTTGTTACGTGGCTTTTTAATTTTATTTCAGGATGACAATGCTTTTGAATCTTTCATTAAAAGCCACTTCAAATCCTTTTCCTAAACCAGTAGTATGCAAATGATGAATAAGTAAATGGAGATTGTAAGACTGTAGCTCATTTTATTTTATGTCTGACCCTCCCGTTTATACTACCCTTTGGCGAGTTTACAGGCTGTGGCTCGCTTCCTGTCAACAGAACTTTTAGAGATCATCCAGCATGCGCAGAGTGATGACCGTACTTGAGATCCACAGACACTATAAAAAGTCACAATCGTTTCTCTTAAATCATTCCCTTCTATCTCTTTAATTTTACTTGCAGGCATAATTTTCTGACCTCTGAAGTCTTTTCCAGCCGTAGAACCAGAATTATCACAGCATTGAGAATTTTTTCCCCTTTTCAACACTTTGGCTGCGCGTGGCATGCTACAAATATCATATAATTATGCGGACTAAAATTATAATTCTGGGTGTGTGCAGTGTCATCATGGTTAAGTTGCTGATATGGAAGAATTCTGTCTAGGTCGCTGTCAGTGATGGAGGGTGAAGCCTGTGCGTGTTTGAACACATCTTTTTCTCTTCATTTTCAGGAAGACTATAAGAACCAGAAGATCTTCATTAGGATGGTGGCATATTTTATTTAACCTAACACTGTTTAATAAATAGGAACACATTTAAGGCAAGATACAACATAGAACAAGATTCGTTTTTTAAAAAAACATAAATGTAAATCTTTACTAAAAAATCATTA